TGTTAACCAGGTGTATCAATACAAGCTGTGCTGTGTTAACCAGGTGTATCAATACAAGCTGTGCTGTGTTAACCAGGTGTATCAATACAAGCTGTGCTGTGTTAACCAGGTGTATCAATACAAGCTGTGCTATGTTGACCAGTAAACCCACATTATTATTATACACAAAAGTAAGCTAGTATAAACAATAATTACTTTTACATAACTATGGACATCTTGGTTAATTTTAAAAAAGTTTATTTGAATAGTTGTTGTAATTTCCAAACATCATATTTAATTGTGATTAAATTTTTCCATTATTTATCCATTAAAACATAATTTCTGTATTTTATACAGACAAGATAATTCAGTTATTCTTATTTATCCATTACAACATAATTTCTATGTTTTATACAGACACGATAATTCAGTTATTCTTATTTATCCATTAAAACATAATTTCTGTATCTTATACAGACAAGATAATTCAGTTATTCTTATTTATCCATTAAAACATAATTTCTGTATTTTATACAGACAAGATAATTCAGTTATTCATATCTATCCATTAAAACATAATTTCTGTATTTTATACAGACAAGATAATTCAGTTATTCTTATTTATCCATTAAAACATAATTTCTGTATTTTATACAGACATGATAATTCAGTTATTCATATTTATCCATTAAAACATAATTTCTGTATTTTATACAGACAAGATAATTCAGTTATTCTTATTTATCCATTAAAACATAATTTCTGTATTTTATACAGATAATTCAGTTATTCTTATTTATCCGTTAAAACATAATTTCTGTATCTTATACAGACAAGATAATTCAGTTATTTATATTTATCCATTAAAACATAATTTCTGTATTTCACAGATAAGATAATTCAGTTATTCATATTTATCCATTAAAACATAATTTCTGTATTTTATACAGACAAGATAATTCAGTTATTCTTATTTATCCATTAAAACATAATTTCTGTATTTTATACAGACAAGATAATTCAGTTATTCTTATTTATCCATTAAAACATAATTTCTGTATTTTATACAGACAAGATAATTCAGTTATTCTCGTTTATTTCCCAGACAATTGTTGACCATTTACCCTTAGTTAACCATATCATCTACATGGAAGGACTTGGTCATCCAGATGTGAAAGGTTTTCCAAGCTCTATAAAAGTATTACCTTTCCTTGAACTTGAGAGACTTGGACATAGTGCTGACCCAGGTAACCATGAAGTATTAGTTAACTTCAGTAATTCTTTAAGTTGTCATTGTTTTGTTTGAAATGACAAATTTGAATCTTTGTTGCATATCCTATGATCTTGAGGCATGTATATTTTATCAATGCTAGTGAACTTTACTCCAAATAAAACCCTGTATTTAATGAAACAGAATAAGATAACACATTTTATAAGTGCAAAAAAGTGTACTGAAACCTGCTTTAATGTATTTAATTTTAAAAGTCCCATTATGTAGCTTGAAAAATTTATTTATAAGTTCCACATATGCAGATAAAGATATCTCAGAGCCAGGTTTACTTTACATAATAAAAAAAAACATGTTTTAATGTGTTATTACTTATCTACAACTGGAAACTAGTAAACTTTGGTAAGTTTCAAGGTTTGTGTACCCTACCCTTTCTTCATTACTTATATCTGAAACTTGAAATTAGTAAACTTTGGTTAGTTTCAAGGTTTGTGTACCCTTTCTTCATTACTTATCTCTGAAATTGGAAATTAGTAAACTCTGGGAAGTTTCAAGGTGTGTGTACCCTTTCTTCATTACGTATATCTAAAACTGGAAACTATTAAACTTTGGGAAATTTAGTTGAATGGAGTACAACTGCCTGTTGTAGAAATAAAAATATAGAGGACGATGTTTTGAAAGTTTTCCACCATTTGTCTTCAGGTTAGTGTGTGTATGGTGTTGTTTGTCCTTATATTATTCTGGTGTATTGTGTGTTATGATTGGTTGGTTTATACCTGTTTCTGATTGGTGAAGAGATTTCCTGTAGAATCGACCAATGTTGAATTTCTTGGCTATGCTTTGAGTCCAATGGAAATCCTACAAGACATTAAGATCCATTCTGGTGAAAAACAAACAGAAACCCACCAATGAAATATACAAAAGCATCATTTATGAAGTTTTGTGTTCCTGCAACAAAAAATACATTTGAGAAACAGGAAGAAAACTTGAGACAAGAATAAAAGAACAAAAAAGACAGTACAAGACTCATGAAAACACAAAATTCAGCCATTGCAGAACACACCATGTCAACTGGACACAAAATAAACTTTGTAAAAAAACGAGAATCATTGACATAGACAAATTTTGGAAGACAAGAAAAATTAAAGAATCATTTTATATTAATACAATAAAACCTTTACTAAAGAGATATTCAGGATTAGAGGTGAGTAACCTGTGTCTACCATTGGTTGAATCTACAGGAAGTCTCTCCTCCAATCATAACACACCCTCCAGAATCCATCAGAATACTATAAAGACTGACAACACCATTCACATACTGATCTGAAGACGAAAATTGGAAAACGTTCAAAATGTCGTCCTCTACACTTGTGTCTCTATAACAAAGCTGTCATAAAATGCAGTATTGATGTAACTAGTATACAAATAGAATAGACAGCTGTTTCAGGACACACAGAATTGATGTAACTAGTATACAAATAGAATAGACAGCTCTTTCAGGACACACAGAATTGATGTAACTAGTATACAAATAGAATAGACAGCTCTCT